GAGTAGCGAGGATGCAGCCAGACTCGCGAGGGAACTTGAGGCAACGCCCACGCTCTAAGAACGTCTTCCACGTGGTTCGGCCAAGAGCGGCAGCCCAGCGGAGCCGCAACCGTGCTCGCCAGGGTTGTCAAAGTGGAGCTTTTCATGCTGCTGATGATCATGATGCAGAGCTGGTCCTCGAGCCCTTTCGGCGGTGAAGACGACCTATGCCAGTGCGTCGACGACACGAGGCCGTCGTTGCTGGCCGCAATCTCAGCTGTGCAAGCCTCCGTCTCAGGTCTGGCAGCCACAGTGCAGTCTCCATGCCAAGGCCCATCTCGTCAAGTGGAGCAGACGATCGCCAGCGTTGAGTTCGTCAACAAGGCCACAGAATCTTGCGTGGAGGTTCTCGGACGCAAGGTTGAGCAGCTGTCGGCCATCTTGGGCATCTTGCAGAGCGAAGCTCCCGCCGCGCCCGTGCAGCAGTTTCCCAGCTTCGACAGGGCGCCCGACCCTGCGGCCATCGTGTGGCGCACAGAGGACAACGTGGACAAGCGGGAAATCTTGGCCCCCTTTTGTGCTTAGCGTCGTCGGAGTATGCTCACCGACCACGGCATTTAAGTGGAAGCGAAGCCAGTCTCGAGAATATTGCCGTGGCGCATCAAGGGCTCATCGCAGTACGCAGCGTGGAAGGAGGACATGGCATTGACAGCTCTCCGTGTCAACAGCGTGGAGGCACAACAGTGGAAATTCATGTCTCGGTGGACCATATCACCGTGTCAGATCAAAAGAAAGACCTCGTTCTCAAGCAGTGCCGAAGGTAGGTTGAGGACGCCCACTCGAACCACAAGTGCTTTGTCAACGAAGAGCGCGGTGAGTTATCCATCTCGTGGAAGCCGATCTTGCGATTGGAGCCCGCGCGGGCCGGCGAGCCGAAGGAACAGTTGGCGATGGGCAACATGCTGGCGCCCGGCTTCGACCGCCTGCGGATCCACGACCGCGTCCGGCCTTCCATCGGCGGCCGAGTGGATCCGCAGGGGGGTGGGTAACGCGTTGATCAGGCAGTGGCAATGAGCTCTTTCTCGACCTCGTCCCCTGTCTCTGGCCGCGTGGAAATCTCGTTCTTTTGTCCATCACTACCATCATCTTATTTCTCGCATTCTCGCCTACTGCTCTATGCTCCTAGTGCCGGTCTCTGTCGCTTGCGCGCAGGAAGCCTGAGGGCCCCCTGGCGAACTTGAATGGGGCTTCCCGTGCCATTTTCATAGGCCAGCTCATGACTTCTTTTTCTTTCTCGCCGCCCCCCCCAGCCCGTCGGCGGCTCGGTCGCTTCCCCCCCGAGTTCGTGGAGAGCCAGCCCCCCCGGACTCTATCGTGGTTGTCTTTTGGGGGGCTCATCGCGGGCAGAGTTTTGAACATTACAGTCGCGTATCTCCTCGACGTAGGAAGCAACCGTCGCGACGTCCACATCTTCGGGTTTGATTCCAGGACCAGGGGCAATCTTATCGATGTCATTGCAGGGGGTCGTCGTCGAGGCCGTAGAGATCCTAACCGAATCATTCGGGTCGTCTAAGGGGGACTTCAATGTTTCGGCGTGCCCTCCCGCCCCTTCTGCTTCCCTTGGCAGTGCTGGCCCGGGGGGCCCTGCGGCCCCGACGACTTCGCCGATTCCTGGATGGCGCGGGCAGCGCCGCGACGCACGGGACAGGTGCTTCCGGTCCCTCGTCGAGCCCTCTCGGCGGGTGAGCCCGCTTGCCCCTGGGCGGCCGGAGATGCGCTGTCTTTTGTGGGCTGGACTCTTCGCGTCTCTGCCAGGCAGGGCGCCGGCGCGGAGGAGGGAGAGGAGGAGGAGGAGGAGGAGGAGGAGGAGGAGGAGGCGGACGAAGAGGAGGAGAAGGAGGAGAGGAGGAGGAGGAGGAGGAGGAGGAGGAGGAGGAGGAGGAGGAGGAGGAGGAGGAGGAGGAGGAGGAGGAGGAGGAGGAGGAGGGAGGAGGAGGAGGGAGGAGGAGGGAGGAGGAGGAGGAGGAGGAGGGAGGAGGAGGAGGAGGAGGAGGAGGAGGAGGAGGAGGAGGAGGAGGAGGAGGAGGAGGAGGAGGAGGAGGAGGAGGAGGAGGAGGAGGAGGAGGCTGGTCGCCGCTGCCCGGGCCCGGGGGCTGTCGAGCGCGCTCCAAATATATCCGCGCGCGGCCGGCGGCGGCCGCGCAGCTGCGAGGGGGGGCCCCCGGCGTCCGAGAGAGCGGGCCGCCCCGGGATGTGCAAGTATCCACGTTGCCAAAGTTTCCGCCGCCCATATTCCAGCAATAACATATTCCAGCAATAGTGGGCGCGTCTGGGCCCAAACCCTGCTCTCGCTGGATTCCCGCCATCAGAGGATGAAAGATGTGGCCCGCGGTGCTCGCCGTCGTTTCGTTCTTCATGATCCGTTGAGTTCTCGTTTGTTTTATCGCTGTGACATCGATTGGCCGCGCTATCGTTCGAAGCGACTGCGTAGTGGTTGGGGGTTGACGTCGATCGCATGCGTGGGCAGGACAGTCCAGCATGAGTTTCCCGACGAGATTGGAGCCGACCAATGAACGCTCTGCATGCAGGGGCTGGCGCGCGCAAGGCGACGCTCGGGCCCGTCTTCAGGCTGCTGCCCCCGAGCGCGCCAGAGCTAAACTTCTGCGGCGACTCCGCGGGCTTCAACGGCCAGGTGAACTCCGGGGCAAGTTTCGCCGGCGATTACGTCGTCGTGGCCCGCGCCTGGATTTTGCGGTCGCGACCGACCCCGATCGCGTCCTCGCGGGGCTTGGATCGCGCCGGGGAGGAGTTCTCGGCCGGGCCGACGGGCGAGCGAGCGGCAGAACGGTGCGTCGAGGGTTTTCATTTCGCCAGCAGCTTGGCTGACCCCCCCCCCCGACCTCGGCCTCGTCGAGCGAGTCTCGCAGCGCCTGCCGCGGGGCGCGCCGGGGCCGGGCGGCCTGCCGCGCCGGGCGTGGCCCGCCCGCCCACGAGGCGCGGTTCTCCTTGGGGGCGCGTTGCGACGGGCTCTGTCAGGAAAGAGCGCGCTGCGCTCACTGAGCGAGCTGAAATGCGCCGCCCCCCCCATAGGCGTGGAGGCCCTGGGCGGAGCAGGCGAGCTCCGTCGTGAAGCCAGTGCCTTCCGGGGCCCTTGGGATCCAAGAGCGCAGGTCGTAAAATAATCATCAGCGCGTGTACTTTCCTGCTTCCTCGTGGGGACCTGGTGCTAGTCGGCCCCGTCAAGCGTGGCATCGTCGCTGGGCGTAATTTCGGATCCAACATCGTGGATCTTGATTCCAGGAGTGGACTCACTGGCATGTTAGAGCAAGCCGAGACTCGTTTTTTTCTTTTCGTTTCCTATGACCACGGACAGGCTTCTCTGTCTTGCGCGTTCCTGGGTTTCAAGAGTTTTGTCCCCCTTCCGCCTCCCCCCGCTCCTTTGGTTCCTTGGGCTGATCCATTCACTGCTGTCCTGCAGCGACCAAGTAGGTAGTGCCTGCCGTATTCTTTTCTATGCCACCTCGGGTCGGGCATTGTCCAGGTATGCCCAGCGTCGGGAGTCATTTGTGCATTCTCTACCACCCCCTCTATAGGGCATTCTAACGCCCATGTCAACGCCCCGAAGGGAGGGGTGGCGAGATGTTGTGCTGATGGCGTCGGCTCCTGCCTATTCCGTTGGAGCGCTCTCAAGAACATGCAAACCGTGCACGAGGCAGCCGAGCGCATGGGCAAGTTCAAGTTGAAACGCAAGAGCTGTCTCATCGCGCCTTCGTCGGGCCCGTTTTCGGATTCCGTGGCCTCCGAAATTCGCTCCCGGATCTTGGGCAACCTGAAATCCGTTCCTGGATCCTGGGCGACTGAAAGGCTGGGGAGTTTTGATGGGGCTGGGTGGGTCTTATCCGTCTCGTATATCTCCTTTGGCGAAGCACCATGGGCGCGGAGTTGTGCTGGCCGAGGCCAGGCCCACCGTGAGCCGTGGGACCCGTGGCCTTCCTGTGGAATTCCCGTGTCACCTCGGTCCTCTCGCACGTCTCCCGCTTTCTCCTCCTCCTCCTCCTCCTCCTCCTCCTCCTCCCCCTCCTCCTCCTCCTCCTCCTCCTCCACCTCCCGACAACTTGTGGCTTTTTGGAGCCAGCAGGGGCCCAACAGGAGCCCTGAAGCTTTCCCTCTTCCCCAGTGCTTTCCGCAGACGACGAGGGTCTATCATCTATTCGTGTCGCCCTGTTCTGCCTGCTGACCAAGGCGCCGTCGTCAGAAAAGCCTGGCTGCCATCATCAGGTGTGCTCTTCGGTCGTTCACGGAATGGCCGGTTCGTACGGGCGCCCTCAGAGACGGCCATCTTCGACCTTCTTCTTAGCTTCGCCTTCTCTGGCCGATTGTCTGTGCCCGGCTGGCGTTCAGGTGCGTTTGCCGAAGTCCCTGAGGAAGCCTCTCGTAGATTCTCCTCTCGCCCGAAATGGTTTGCTGCAGGTGGGTTGGCGGCCGATGCTTGGCCCGCCATTTCAGATGGCATCGAAAGAAGCTGCACAGAGCTATGGGTCAGGTGCTTCTCACCAATATATGCCCAGACTCTCTTCAGTGGATTTTCCAGCGCAGATTGCGCGCGTGGTTCCTTCGTTCCATGCACGCGATTGATCATATTGATTTGCCAGTGGCTCGTTGCCAATTCAGCCGAACGACCCACCTCACAGGCTACAGCAGCTCTGATGACCCTCTTAGGCGCTTGTGTGTGCAGCGAGGCGTTTTCAAGGCCAACGCAGGTGCATGCCAGGTTGAATAGCTCGTGGGGCCATCCGTGAATGCCCCAATTGTTCGCGATTTGAAGACCTGCTTGCTGCCGCTCTTGGCCGCGAGCTCCCACCCTGTCCGATTTCTCGCTTTGGTCTGCTCGATACGATCCGTCTCCCATCTCTCTTTCTTTTCTCGCCGCGGCCGCCGTTTTTTAAACTGTCGGAATGCGGCTGCCGACGTTAGCGGGCTGAGCTAGTTCGAATCCCTGCCATCATCCCGCAGGCCCGCACCGCCTTGCGCCGCGTCGAAGAGACACATACCCATGTCTTTTCTTTGGGTGCGTGCCAGCAGGAGGATGAACAGCAGGCACAAGAGGAATGGAAAGAAGAGGAAGAGGAGGAGGAGGAGGAGGAGGAGGAGGAGGAGGAGGAGGAGGAGGAGGAGGAGGAGGAATGGGGAGAAGGAGGGGGAGGTGGAGGAGGAGGAGGAGGAGGAGGAGGAGGAGGAGGAGGAGGAGGAGAGGAGGAAGAGGAGGAGGAGGCGGAGGAGGAGGATGATGATGAGGAGGAGGAGGAAGAGGAAAAGGAGGAGGAGGAGGAGGAGTAAACGGAGGAGGAGGAGGAGGAGGAGGAGGAGGAGGAAGAGTAGGAAAAGGGGATGGGTAATGAAAGGACGGAGAGGAAGATGAGGAGGACCGCCACGCTCTTGGGGCTAGTTGGCTCTTCCTGACGGTCACCATGAGTCGTGCCGACGAGCTTTGGGGACCGTTGGGGTCGGAGGGCAGTTCTGGAAACCTGTGTGGCCCTTCGCGCCCCCCCCCTCCAGAACAGGACTTTGGATTTCCTGGGAGAGGGGGACAGGGGGAGGTGGGACAGCCAATCATATCACATGCCATTTCACACCCGGCAGGTGGGGTTTGATGGATTTCGTGTATTTGCCCACCGACTTTGGTATGCAATGCTGTTTTGGATACGCGTTCGTCAACCTGGTCTCGCCCACGGCCGCGCAGCGTTTCCACGAGGTCGGAGGGGCGCAAACACCAAGACTGCACAGCGCGATTCTCTTGCATGTTGCACCCTCCCATCATGCCATCATGAACTGATTGCTGTAAGTGCGTGTGTGTGTGTTTGTTTGTTTTTGTGGGTGTGTGTTTGTTTGCGGGTCCGCCTGTTTTCTGAGCCCTCCGGCCGCCTGAGGCCCCGCTCGCCCGCGCCCTGTCTCCCCAATTAGGGCTACCCGCGTCCCGTGTAGCTCTTGACCGGACGGGGCCCGCTCCCGACCCGCAGACCAAAACAGTTTGTTTGCGCGTGTGTGCGTTTGTTGCGTGTGCGTTTGTTGCGTGTGCGTTTGTGCGCGTGCGTGTGTGCGTGCGTGCGTGCGTGTGTGTGTGCGTGCGTGCGTGTGTGTGTGTGTGTGTGTGTGTGTGTGTGTGTGTGTGTGTGTGTGTGTGTGTGTGCGTGCGTGCGTGCGTGCGTGCGTGCGTGCGTGCGTGCGTGCGTGCGTGCGTGTGTGCCTCCGTCCTTCCTCCGCACCGCCGCCGCGCGCGCGGCCTTTCGACCGCGAAAGGCGCGCGCGCGGCGTGCGCCTTCCCCCGTGCGGCTGGCCTCGCCGCCGCCCGCCGCACTCGGCCGCCGCCTCGCCGCCGCTGGCGCGGCGGGGGGCGGCCGCGGCTCTCCGCCGCCGTGCCGCCAGGTCCTCCTCCTCCTCCTGCCTCCTCCTCCTCTCCTCCTCCCCCTCCTCCTCCTCCTCCTCCTCTCCTCCTCCTCCTCCTCCTCCTCCTCCTCCTCCTCCTCCTCCTCCTCCCGCCCGGCCACCCCGCTCTCCTTTCCGCCGCCGTGCCGCCAGGCCTCAGGAGGGAAAAAAAACACACAGACACAGTCAATCGTCGATTCCCCCGGAAATATGGGAAGATGTGGGAAGTGGTGGGGAAGACAAAGACCCAGGAAAGAGGGGAAAATATGGGGGATCCTTTTATTTGTGTGTATTTATTTGTGTGTCCTGGGGCCCCTTCAAGGCCGCCAGGCCACCCCGCTCTCCTTTTCCTGCCAGGAGCAGCGCTACGGGGGGGGGGATCGGGCGAAGAGAACTATGCTCATGTCGGGCGTGTCCCCCTATAGGGGGGATTTTCGACGAAAAACAAAAAATACACCAAACATATCCCAAAAAGGTCCACAAATAGTAACAAAATAGTCCCTGGACTATTTTTGGAGTTTTTTTTTTTTGGGGGGGGGGTATTTTTTTCAGTCGACAATCCCCCTGTATGGGGACAGGCCCGACATAAAACTATGCACATGCACCGATCCTGGCAAGGCCCATCCTTGACACAGGACCTGTGCATATGCCTTCCTGGCCAAGGTCGGAGGGCGTGTGCACCGATCCTGGGCTCAGGATGGGCCTGGCCAGAATCGGGGTATGTGCACAGTTCTCTTTCCTCTAGAAGGTGAGAAGGAGAAGGCCCTTCTCAGAAGGGGGGAAGGCCCTTCCTCCTTCTCCCTCTTTTCCCTTCTCCCTCCTTCTCCCTCCTTCTCCTCTCCTTCTCCCTCCTTCTCCTCTCCTTCTCCTCTCCTTCTCCTCTCCTTCTCCCTCCTTCTCCTCTCCTTCTCCTCTCCTTCTCCTCTCCTTCTCCTCTCCTTCTCCCTCCTTCTCCTCTCCTTCTCCTCTCCTTCTCCTCTCCTTCTCCCTCCTTCTCCCCTCCTCCTCCTTCTCCCTCCTTCTCCCCTCCTTCTCCTTCTCCCCTCCTTCTCCTCCTCCCTCCTTCTCCGAGGGAGAAGGCCCTCTAGACTCGGCGCTTTCCCAGCCTCCAGCGGCCGCGCCTCGCCGAGGGCACGCCCGGGGGTGCCCAGATCGTGGCCAGCGGCCGCTGGAGAGCCGAGCCATGGCGCGAGGGGCAGGGGGCGACGCTCGGGGGGGCGTGCTCCGGGGGGGTGCATCGAACCCTATGGTTCAGTCGGGCCTGTCCCCCTCTACAGGGGGAATGCTCAAGAGTAGTCAAAACATAGTCTGGGGATCATTTTTTTAAAAGGATGTTTGAGCATTTTGGATGGTATTTTTGGGGGTATTCTTTATTCTTCGTCGAAGATCCCCCTGTAGGGGGACAGGCCCGACGTAACCCTATTGCCCACTGATCGCGCACAGGGGCCTGATAGTCCCACCCCGCCCAGGAGCATGCGACACATCGCCGCTTCCAGGTCGATGCTTCCCCTGCTGAGCCGGCAGCCTGGGCCCCGTCCTCATCCTGGATGAGCTTGGCATCGCTCGGACGTGTGCATTTTTTTCTCGGCGAGGACCATCGAGGACCATCCTGGACCATCGAGCAAAAAAACATGCACGAAACCGAAAAAATGCACGGGAAATGGACGTCCGAGCGATGGCGAGTGAGGGCACCGTTGCCCCTCCTCCTAACGTCGACCCCTCATCCAGGATCAGGGTGAGGGGCAACGGTCAGCCCCTCATCCTGGATCCAGGACGAGTGCCAGGATGAGGGGCTGGCGTCGCCCCTCGCCCTGGCCCTCGTCCCGCCCCCCCGTCCTCTGCCGGGCCCGTTGGGTCGTTTGGCGGTCTCTCCTGCGCCCTGCTCCGCGTTCATTGGGCTTGACCTTCAGCGGAGCAAGAGGTCATGATGATAATGATGCGCTCCAGAATTTCCAAGTGTTCCAGGACCACCGATCCTTCCTGCTGCTCCGCACCAGCTGAGCCGCCAGATGCTGCTCGGGAACTCTTAGAACGCGGCCTGAGCCAGTCCTACCCTGACACCATTCTCGTCCCAGACTCGCCGGTGGCGTGGCGCGGCCTCTTCCGAGGCGGGACTCTATGCATGACCACCGCCTGGAGGGTCCGCTTTCGGAGCCTCGGCAGGTGGTGAATACGGACATGTTCGGGCCCCCGGGGGCCGAAACAGATCCACATCCGCCGCCCGTTGGGGCACCGGGACGTCGGTGCCCAGGCAGTGGGTGTGGACAGCTCCCCGCTGTGCGCCTCTGCAGTTGCCGTGTGCGGGCCGCCGTCGCTCGGCTGCCCGCCTCCGCCTCTCCCTCCCAGCCCCCGCCGCTCCCGGCTCTTCCTGGCCCGCTTCCCTCTGCTGCGCCCGCTCTGCTCCCTGCGGCCTCTCGGGCCATTGCTCGTCTCCTCGCAGGCCTAGAGGTTGACACCAGCAGCAATGTCGGCGGTGTGCCTCCACCGAGGGAGAAGGATCCCGATCTCAGTGGTGGTGGTAATCTTCTGGCTTCCAAGGTGGCCGAAATATCACCACCAACACCGAAATCTAGGATCATCTTCCCCCTGTGGAGGCCCCCCCCTGTGTTGGTGTTGGTGCCCATTCCCAGGCCTCAAATCTCCACGTCCACCTGGCTTGGCCTGCTGGTAGCGCTCGGTTTTTTTTTGTTCGTTCTTGTTTTTTTCCTGTTCCGCTTGCTCGCTCTGGCTGTTCCTTGCCACCCTGTCCTGTACCGCCTATTTTTTCCCCCAGGGTCGCCTCTGCGCCCATCAGGGGTATCGTTTCGCCACGCTGTTTCGCGAGGACGCCGATTCTTCGCAAATGCACCGCCCCGCTGCACTGCCCGCCTATTGGATTTTTTTTGTCGCGTCGGAGGAAAGCGTGTGTGTGTGTGTGTGTGTGTGTGTGTGTGTGTGTGTGTGTGTGTGTGTGTGTGAGTGTGTGTGTGTGCGTGTGCGTGTGCGTGTGTGTGTGTGTGTGTGTGTGTGTGTGTGCTGCGTGCTGGTGTCTGTGTGTCGGGTGTGTGTGTGGTGTGTGTGGTGTCTGTTGTGTCGAGAAACTCAGGGCGCGAGCGCGCTTGTTTGTTATGTGTGTGTGTGTTGTGGGTGTAGTGTGTGTTGTGTGTGTGGTGTGTGTGTGCGTGTCTTCTGTCTAGTCTGTCTGTCTGTCTGTCTGTCTGTCTTTTGTCTGTCTGTATGTCTGTCTGTGTGTCTGCTGGTACTGTCTGTATGTCTGTCTGTCTGTCTGTCTGTATGTTGTCTGTGACTGTGTTGGTTGTGTGTGTTGTGTATGTGTGTTTGTTTGTGTGTGTGGTGTTTGTTTGTTTGTTTGTGTGGGTGGTGTGTGTGTGTGTATATGTTGTTTGTGTGGTGTGTGTTGTTTGTGTGTGTTGTGTGTGTGTTCTGTGTGTGTGTTGTGTTGTGTGTGTATGTTTTGTGTGTGTGTGTGGTGTGTGTGTGGCTGTGTTGTGTTGATGTGTGTGTGTGTGTGTGTGTGTGTGTGTTGTGTGTGCGGGCGGGCGGGCGGGCGGGAGGGCGGGGCGGGCGGCGGGCGGGCGTGCTGCGTGCGTTGCGTGCGTTCCGTGTGTGTGTGTGTGTGTGTGTGTGTGTGTGTGTGTGTGTCGCGAATCGGGCGCGCGTGTGTCGTCGCATCCTTCCTCTCCTCCCGGTTGGCAGGGCGCCCCCCGGCTGGGCCTGCGGGTGCGTGCGCCGACACCTGGGCCCAGGGACTCTCGGAGCTTCCCTGGGGCCTCCCGCGCGCCCCCCTGGGTCCAGCGCGCCTTCCCCGGGCTCCCGCGCGCCTCCCCGCGGAGGAGGAGGAGGAGGAGGAGGAGGAGGAGGAGGAGGAGGAGGAGGAGGAGGAGGAGGAGGAGGAGGAGGAGGAGGAGGAGGAGGAGGAGGAGGAGGAGGAGCAGGAAAGTCCCGCGTCGCTGAAAGGGATCGCTCCAAGACGCCCAAGATGGCCCGAGCTCTGTCCAGGGCCGGTCGCGTGAGGAGGGCGCCGAGATGGGCGTGGGTACCGACGGCAGAGTGAGGGGGGAGGAGGGAAGGAGAGGAGGGGGAGGGGAGGAGGAGACGAGGCGGAGCGCGGCGCCGCGGACTCAGAACCAGACCCACCACCTTGGGAGGGCTTGGAAAGACGGCGACGCCCTGACTCGGCCCCCAGAACCCTCCCGGGGTCCATCCTGGCCCCGTATTTCGAGTCACGACGTTCCAGCCTACTTTGGCCTTGACCACCAGAAAGAATGTCGAGCACCAAGAAAGTACCGAAAACGGAGAGTTTTCACGTGTCAGGCCCTGGGAGGCGATACTCGCTCGACACCCCGCCAGCATGTCGGGCAGACACTGCTTCGGTATTCTTCTGGGTGCTCGAGATGACTTCTGGGATGTGGCCCTTACGTAAGCTATGGGCAACAGAACTGCTGTCGAGGCGGATCCAGCCGTGGCGACGAGGAGCCTGCAGGAGTGAGGAGGGAACAAAAACAAAGACACAATTAATCCTCGATTCCCCAGAAAATATGGGAAAATATGGGACTTGGGGGGCAAGACAAAAACCCATAATATATATATATATATGAAAATATGGGGGAGCTTCTTATTTGTGTGTACTTATCTGTGTGTCCCAGGGCCCTTTCAAGGAGGCGCGAAGAGGACGACGGACGCCAGGCAGAGCCGGCCCAGCGGCCCTGGATGTCGGGTGACGGCTCGGGCCTCCGGCGGCCGGGGGGCACGAACTTGGGCACACTCCCGGAGCGCTCTCGGTGAGGCGCCGCGCCTGGGAAGCATCCCGGAGCCTCTTTGGAGCCTCCAGTTGGAGGCTTCAAGATTGCCACCAACACCCAAAACAGGGGGGGTGCGCCCACTGGGGGAGGGTGATCATAGATTTCGGTGCTGGTGGCAATACTTCGGCCGCCTAGGAAGGCCAGAATAGTACCACCATCACCGATATCGGGATCATCTCCCCTCGGTGGAGGCACACCGCCGATTTTGGTGTTGGTGTCAACCTCTGGGCCTGCCATCCAGGGACCGAAGACCGCGTCCGACGGCTGCCAGCCTCGAGCCGCTGGGTGCCCTTGCCAGGAGGAGCCGCCGTGGTCTCGGCTGGCCCTTCTCCGGCCCCCTTCCCCGCGGCGTCGCGTCGGCCCGCTGCGTGGGGGGCCGCAGAAGGGGGGGGTCCGGCCGGGGCCCGGCTGCGTGGCCCCCCTCGCGAGGTGTTCGCGGGCTTCTCCAAGTGGAGCGTGCCCTGGGAATCCGAGGCCAGCGGGCCTGCCTCGAGCCCCGCGCCTGCTGCTGCTGCTGCTCCTCCTCTTACTCTTGTTATTCTTCTTCCTCTCCTTCTTCTTCTTCTTCTTCTTCTTCTTCTTACTCCTCCTCCTCCTCGTCCTCCTCCTCCTCGTCATCCTCGATCCACACCACTGGCCTGCTGTGGTCGTGCAAGGACGTCCACTTGCCGCGGTTCGCTGTTTGCATCAGTGACCAGCGGCTCACCTGCCTCCTCCAGTGCCACGTCCTGTTTGGACTGCCTTGAGGAGTGCGATCTGTCGGTGATATCATGCTCCTCTTGCGGCCTGGTGCTCTGTTTGGATTGCGCTTCGAAGGCCGTGCAGCGGCGGTAAATCGTACCATGTTGACTCGTCTCTGGCGGCGTACTCCAGGATCGAGGTTATCCTGGTCTCGTCTCAGGTGGCGTACTCCATGTAATCACGGTGTCTCCTGCTGGTAAGTGTACGCCTCGTTCGTGGCCGTCTCCTTCGTCGCGGTAGGTGAACTCACGCCTCAGGTGGCCTCACCCCACCACCTGAGTGTAAGGCGGGGTAGTCTCGCGTTGATCTCAACAAAAAACGTTCTTTCCCTCACCCCTCCTCTTCACACCTCCGCCTCATCCCTCCTTCCTCTTCCTCCTTTTTTCCGCCCTCCGCCCTCCTCTTCTTCCGCCGTCGTCGTCGTCGTCGTCGTCGTCGTCGTCGTCGTCGCTGTCTTCGCTGTTGCCGCTGCTGTCGTCGCAATCGCCCCCGTTGGCGCTCCGAGGCCGAGGTGGGCTGGGCCTCGCTGCAGGGCCTCGACCGGCACGTCGAGAAGTGCCGGCTGCCGCGTCCTCGACCCACCTCTCAGGAGGGGAAAAAACACACTCACACAATTAATCGTCGACTCCTAGGAAAATATGGGAACATATGGGAAGTGGGGGGGAAGACAGAAACCCAGAAAATATGGGAAAATATGGGGGATATTTTTATTTGTGTGTATTTATTTGTGTGTCCAAGGGCCCCTTCAACCTCTTCCCCCTCCATTTTGGTAGTCCCCAAACGTGGTGGTGACAACACCTGGCGGTGAGTCTCGGGCGATTTGTTGTCACCACCCGGTCTGGGGGCTCGTGCGGTTTTCCGAGGATGTCCCGGACACTGGTGGGTCCAGGAGTCACAGAACCCGGTGGTGACCCCGCGTCCCCAAACCCAGCGGTGACCTTTTTGGGGATTCCATGTCGCCACCTGGTATCTCACCACCCGGTTTGGGGGTTCCCAATCCATTCCTCCGCGAGCGAGGAACGGTATAGTATAAACTTTTTCGCCGTCGGGAGCGCCTGCCCCTGGGCGGCTGGAAAGTTTTTAACCCCTACGGTGCCACCGTAAGGGCATAAACTTTCCAGCCGCCCTGGGGCAGGCGTCCCCGACGGCGAGAAAGTTTATGTTATACCGTTCTTCGCCCGTTAAATTTTTCCTGTCTCATCCTTTTTCTCATCGATGCGTCGCTGGTGCCGCACCGCCAGCCAAGACAGTACACCAGTGGTGGGCGTCTCGAGTCATTCGCCACGCTCCTCTCGCGCGCTCTGCCGCTGCCGCCGCCGCTTCCCTCCATATGTAGGTTGGCGACGGCATCGATGACAGTAACATAGCATTACCATAGCTTTTTGTGCTGAACGAAAATCAGGAGGGAAAGAAACACACAGACACTTAATCGGCGATTCCCCAGGAAAATATGGGGAAATATGGGAAGTGGGGGGCAAGACGAAAACCCAGAAAATATGGAAAATTATGGGGAATCTTTTTATTTGTGTGTATTTTTTTGTGTGTCCTGGGGCCCCTTCATATCTGTGCTTAGCGAAACGTCCGCTCGCGCGCGCCGTCTCTCTGGTCGGGCGCACACGAGCTCTCACCGACACATTTGCTCACCGGGCACTCCCAAGAAGAAGCCGTGCCATCATGTGTACACCTTTCCCGATTTGGCGTGGGACCATGTGTTGAGGATGGTTTATTTCGGCGGCGAGCGAGGGGGGGAAATGAGAAGGAGAAGGCCTTCTCAGAAGGCGGCGGGACTTCTCAGAAGGCCGGAGGCCTTCTGAGAAGTTTTTTCTGTCCTCGGGGAAGGCTTGGAAAACTTCTCAGAAGTCCCGGGAACTTCCGAGCCTTCTGAGAAGGCCTTCTCCTTCTCCATTCCCCCCTGGGCTCGCCGCCTATTATTGGAACAGTCAGATCAGGTGCCTGTCAACTGGGTTGATGGAATGGCCGCGTCCATGATACATCGGCAAGATGCTGATCGCTTGGACATCCGTGCTGTCATGGGTACACAGTCTCAGCCAGCGTGGGCCCCGAGCAGTTGTGACTGCACTGCGGGAGTGTGAGCTGCGCGGAGTAAGCTGCAGGCTGTTGGCTATGTTGTGCAAGCTGTGTGCCGTAAACTCTGTGGTGTAAGCTACGCCGTGTAATCTTTTTTTTGGTGTATATTTATAACTGTATACACATATGTGTATGTGTGTACATATAATATATACACATCTGTATCGACTGTTCGTGTGTGTGTGTGTGTGATGTGAGCTACGTCGTGTAAGCTGTGCGGCGTGATCTGTGTGGTGTGAGCTGTGCCGTGCAGGCTGCCGCGGGGCAAGCCATGCGCTGCACGGGGCGCCGCCCGGGCGGGCCGAACGGGCGAAGCCTTGGCGGACCCACCCGGTGGGCGCACGGTGCGCCCACGAGCGCCCACGACGCGCCCACGCGCGGGCACCGGGCGAGGCCCCCCGGCCGGCGGAGCCGCCCCACGGCACGGGGTGCCCGCGGGCGCCCCGTGGGACAAGCAGCAGCTGCTGGGGCGAGGAGGGGGGCGTGGGTGGGTTTCGGGCGAGAGGTTGTCGCGCGGGAAGCCCCAGGTCACGAGCTCTCGTGGGGTGGGGATGCCGGGGCGAGGAGGGGGGCACATGGGTGCGTCGCGGGCGAGAGCTTGTCGCGCGGGGGGGTGCCCAAGAGCAGAGCGAATCCCTCAGCGTAGCGTCGTTCGGGGACAATGGCGCTGGGAATCTATCGCATGCAGCCCAGAGGAGTCATGGGCCAGCATTGGCTTCGATGTGTTGCGGTGGGGGGGGGGGAGAGAATCCTTAGGCGCAGACGCTGCTCGGAGAAGCGTCCAGCATCTGCACGGGTGCACGACCGAGCTTTTTCAACATGCGGTCCTCGACTGCGCGTCGGGTGCGCTCATCTCAGAAAGATTTCAAAGGGACGGAGGGTTCCAACAAGCGACTCCTCGCATTGGCACCACGCACAATCATTCTACAGGGTCCCGGCAGCGACGAGGGTGGAGGGCAAGTGTTTT